GAGGAGATGGGGCTTGCGGCCGCCTTGGCTTCCGTAAGCACAGGGGGCTGAGAGATTCAAGCTGGCATGCAGTACACTGGTTGTTGACTCCAACAAAAGACGAATCCGAGATCTCCAGGCCGAGTGGTGGGCCGCTCACTCACGGAAGTCTGTAGTCCGCACACCAGGGTTCCAACCCCTCAAGGAATGCGGCTCTTCCAGGATGTCCCTGGATGTCTTGGAAGCAGGCCACACCCCTAGGGAAACTCCCCTTGGGCAGACTGGCCACTCAGAACACAGTTATCTGATCCCATCATGGGAACAACCACACAGAACTGGGGTCCAACCAAGTTGACACACAGGTCCAACTATCACAGAAAGTCCTGGTGATCTACTTCCAAAAATCAGCCAGTGAAAACCTTATGACTCACAATGGTGTGATCTATAACCAATCACAGGGGTGATGTAAAACCAGATGTTTAGTTTCACTGTGCATGGTATTGCTATGTTGGCTGATTTGATGGCAGCTAACAACAGTGCTATAGGATAGGCCAAATTTATTGACCTCTGAGGTGTCTTCTAGGTCTACTGATTATATTTAAGTTAAAATACTTTATAACATGGTCTCATTGTAAATCTTACCATTCTCAAACTATCAGTGTTGAAAGTTGTCATTCAGGTTGGCTGCAAGTTCAGCTTTTCACTTCTCTCCAATATCTGGTCTTTATGACTTTCAAACCTTCAGCCATAACAGTTATCCTTCTGAGACAAGGCACTTAGGTCTTACATAATATCCCACCTTGTGTTATTATGTGAGTGAGGTAAATATGTGTCAACATATTGAATATTGAGAGGTTTTCAAAAGTTGTCATATAACCAACAAAGATGAACCTTTTTGCACATACAGTACTGTATTGTCAGTGAAGGCAAATATTGATATATGGTTAGATAGAAGGGTAGACAGGCTGAACTATTAGGTATGTCTTTGCAGCAGGGAGCATACCCAAGACCATGTATAGGGTTGGCAGACAATGGTCATACAAGTGTATTTGTATGTTCTGTAAGAATTCCCAGGTATATAGTAGAGCTGACGAGGGACAAGGTTGTAGTCACTTCTTGGTCACAGCCAGCTACCCAGAAGGATCGCGTAGTTGAACCTGTGGCTCGAGACCATAGTCACAGGGGACATCAAACTCAACTGGCATAACATACTACACAAAACCTTCATTCCAGATCCTACTTTGGTGAGTAGAAACTGGGATCTTAAAGGCTTGCAAATGACCATCTAGATGCAATGATGGGTCTCTCCTCGTCCAGAGCGAAGAAGAATGAAGGAAACCAAAAATTCATGAAAACAATTAGTTCAAGCGACTGGTACACCATGCGATCCTCAGCCTATATGACTATGAGATCAGAAGAACTAGATGGTGCCTGGCTACCACTGTCAACCACTCAAAGGGGGATCTCTGTAGGAGATCCTGGATAGACTGGGAGAACAATGTGGAACAAAACTCAAAATCATTTGTTGTTGTTGTTGTTATGTGCCGTGGAGTCGGACTCGACTCATAGCGACCCCTCCTTGGGTTTCCGAGGCAGTATCACTATAGAAGTAGATTGCCCCATCTTCCTTCCGAGGAGTGGCCGGTGGGTTTGAACCACCAGCCTTCTGGTGAGCAGTCAACTGCCTTAGGCACTATGGTACCAAAGCTCCTCAAAATCATTTAGGAAAAAAAAAAAAGGACCAGGTTTGCTGGTCTGATAGAGCCTGATGGAACCCCTGAGACTATGGCTCCTGGCTGTCCTTCAGGTCTGGAATTGAACTCACTCCTGTAGCTTCCAGCCAAACAAAAAAAGGCACATGAGCTGAACATTTACATTAGGTAGATACATTCCTTGAAGAGATGAATCATGGGAGAATAAAAGGGCCGTGTTTGCACAGGGAGACAGTTTGAGGGGTGGGAGTGCATGGGAGGGCAGGGCACAGGGAAGAAGCACCTATGAGGAGGAAGTGGGATGGGAGCTGTTGCAATGTGGGAAATTGTAGTCAAGTCATGAGACAAAGTGTATGTGAACTTCCGTGTGGATGTGTGGAAAGTGAATTTCCTCTGTAAACTTTCACCCAAATCATAATGTAAAAAAAAAAAAAAAACCTTGTCATATAACCCATCACCATAATTTGAGAGTTCTAATTTTTTTTTCCTCGAACTTTCGTTTTAGCCTAAAGACACACAGCAGGCACTTAGTAGAAAAGCATCAGCAGTAAACATGGAGAAATTCAAGAAGTTCGCAGCCCGAAAGAAATGGAAAGTAAGATTATTTGATAAACAAACAAACAAAAAAAGCCCACTGCCATCAAGTTGATTCCAACTCATAGCGACTCCACTGGTTTCTAAGGCTGTAAATCTTTAAGGGAGTAGATTGTCTTATCTTCCTCCTATGGAGCAGCTGGTGGGTTTGAACTATTGGCCTTCTGGTTAGCAGCCAAATTCCTTACCCTCTATACCACCAGAGCTCCTTAGTTGATAAGGAGGAATTAACAAATTGTGTTTCTTCTGTGGAACTTTGTCTGTTCGAGGTCCATGTTTTTTGATGTTGGCAATGTGGAAGAAGTTCATCCATCTGGTTGTTTTTTTGTTTAATTCCTTCTGTAGTCTTCTGTACCACTATCTTATTTTCCAAGATAAGCAAAAACAATATTTCTGTCCTATTACCTCCTATTTTCAAATGTAATTTTGCTGTGTATGTGTGTGTGTGTGTGTGTGTTAAATATAAGCAATTCCAATGCAAAATTTGAATTCAGCACAATAAAATTATAGCAAAAGCTTTTTAAAGTACAATGATTCAGATTTTAAATAAATTTGTTCTTTGTGGTGAGCAGTCTGGAATTACATTTATACCAGAACCTGCGGAAAAGGTTCTCTAAATCCAACCTTTATCTATGAGTGGTTTGGTTGAGGTAGAGAGCTGGGTGGGGTGGGGAGCATTTGCATGTGGCTCTTTGGATTTCCTCAACTGACACGCCTCTGTGGGAGCTGTGTGCATGCCAGCCATCCCTGAAGCAAATCACCATTCAGGGTTATTAAGGCTGTAGCATGGTTTTCTGTGCCCAGGGCCACATCATATCTGAAGGAAGCAGGTGTCTCCCTAGCGACGGACCAGAAATACAGCTCATTTTCATACTCATCAAATTTAGGGGTACCATGATGGAGATGAGGAGGCTGCGGGTACTAGATTGACTTAAAACTTAACTTTTAGCCCCAAAGGAACTCTTAGAATAAAGCTTAAAAGGCACAGTACACACACACACACACACACACACAGAGGCTTTACATGTTGCTTCTGCCTTTGAATAGAAATGCAGAGGTACTTGTTCTATACTCTAAGGATCCCCTACCTGTTGGTTTCCACCAGCTGTGTGAAGTTTGATGGTCAAATTATCTGCCATTACCCATGTACTGTTAGATCTTCATAGGCACAAAGTGTACAAGGCAAAGCCCCTGCCTGCCATGAGAAGAGCATCTGTAAAGGGCTTGTCTAGTGTAATATCACATGTCCCAAATAGTAGACAACAATGTTATAGGAGAGGAGGGATGTGGGGTATCCAGTTCTATAGTTTAATAATGAAATGCAGGAGAAACTTTTTCTATTCCATTGTCTTTCTTGATTGATAAGGACTTTAGAGTTATTCTTTAAACAAATATGGTCCAGCCTATCTGTGGGATTGCCTGTGCTGAAGAATGTACGCTGTGAGCGATGAGCAAAATCCCAAAGACTGTCATTTGTACTGATTGGAAGATTGTTATATAAGTTCTCTCTCTTCCCTTCCCCCTGCCTTTTTTCTTCCCATTGTTTTGTTTTTAAAGCAATCAGTCCGCTTGATATCACTGTGCCAAAGATTATCCAGGTCGTTCTTGTCCAGAAGTAACATGAGTGTTGCCAGAAGCGATGATACTCTGGTAAGCAAACCTGTTTGCCTTGGTGAGGTTCCTTTTCAACACTTCGTATTTAGAATGTTTAAGTTATTCTGTTTGTTCAACAACGTGGAAAACCTGCAGACCTGAAAACGTCAGACCTGTTCTTACTCCTCTCGAGGTGGGGCAGGTGGGGGTTGGGGGGGTGGAGTGCTAGGAAATGGTGACTTGATGCACACCATTATTCCTGTCTTCTCTTTGTTTGTCGCCCCCACCCTTACTGCCTCACACACATATTTGGTGAAAGAGAGACTAGCCACTAGATGAGGACAGAGAGTTTATTCCAATTTGCACAAACTAAAATTGGAGCCTTCATATTGCCATTGAAGTAGGAGAGTCTTTTATCACAGTAGTAGAAGAGGGGCAGATTGCTCCTTCCTCCACACAGCCCCAGAAAATCTGGGAAAATGTAGTGCTATTTGTTGGTATATCTTGAGGTAGACCAGAAGACCAAACCAACTTACATCATATTGACAGCTGAAGGCTCTTGAGAATAAAGTTATGTTTTCTCCCCCAATCCAAACTGAAACCTAATCGCAGATTAACCCTTCAGATATGACTGGACACATCTGAATTCAACAAGACTTTCCCCTGACAGTCAAACAATAGGGCTTTGTTAACTCTGTAGTCAAAGGGGACTCCAGAGAAGACAGAAAGGGCAGTTCTATGGGAACTACCCGCTCCCGTAACTGGATCGTCAATTTTTCCTGAATGGAATCCAGGGACTCCAAATGCAGACATCACATATCAGCCGACACCAGCTTTACTTTTTCTCTTTTTCCTGAAGCTGGTAGCTTTATTGAGGCTCCAGGTCTAGCCTTGTAGAGTAAAGAGAGATGAAAGAAACAGATAAGAAAAACCAATCCCTTGAATTGACTCTGACTCATGATGACCCCATGTGTGAACTGTGCTCCATAGGGTTTTCTGTGCTTGATTTTTCAAAGCAGATCAACAAGTGAGGGATAAGCAAGAGAGGAAGAGAAGGAGAAGAGGAAGGCTTAATTCAGGAATTGTTTGAGAGTGGCAGTGGAACCAGGGAAAAGATAAAAACTATTAATCTAAATAATAAGTTCCTACTACTGCTGACAATAATAATGTGAATGACTTTAAGACTATGAGTTGCATTCTTCCTGTATAATCAATTGGGTGAAAATACCTGTGTTGCAATGAAATCATGCAGCGTCTGAGAGGAACCCAAGGTTGTATAGGAAGAGATTGCCTCTAGATCTCAGATTCTGTGATAGTCTCAAAATGATGCTCATCACAAGGATGTGTTAGAGCAGTCACTTTGTTCCTTCCTTTCTTCCCATTTCTCTTGACTTCAATGTTCCTGTAGATGTCTCATTGCCATCAACTTGGATTATGGTAGAAAAGCAAAAACAGTGGTATTCTTAAACATGTGTTCTATGAAAATCTTACTAAAACCCTCACAAAGCTTGTTTGGGTTCAGATCTCTAGAGAAGAGAAAACAGAGTTCAGAGAACTGCTTTCTCCTTTCTGCCCCCACAAGCACATGTCCAGCCTTTGTAGAGATATGCTTCAAGATTTGTAATTTCAATAATATATAACAAGTATATTAATTAGTATACTAATAGAACTAAAGGTTATAATTCTGTATTTATAAATCCACAAAATGTACTTGGTATTTTTTTAAACTTACTCTTTTGCTTTAATGTGCCATGTTTTAGAAATATTATAACATTTATTATGTAAAATTTAATTCACTTCTATTCGAACATTCTCTGGTTATTTTCTCTATATATTTAGAAATGCATCCATTTTCCTTTTTCTGGACCTTTTTTATGCTTTCCTCTCCTTTTAGGGCCAAAATTTTAAAATAATTGTGACCAGCTTTCATGTTATTCTATACCTAGAGAAGGAAGAAACTCAAGTGACTAAAAAGTGACAATTCTGTAATTGGAAAATTGCAGGTTAAGAATATCTTATTCAAAGATAGCATTTCCTTGGATCTATGGTTTTTCTTTTTTTTTTATTCAGAAAGAGAATCCAAAGCATCTCTGTGTAACACCTGAAATTTCCACAGAGGTGTCTGGTGTGATATTTTGACAGATTCTTAAGATAAACACAAAGGGTAGTTTGTCATCATTCTTGTTCTCATCTGATTCTTGAAAGCTGTTTGTTATCTGGGTTATACCTCAGGTGACATTAAGATACAAGTAAACAGTGGAGGGCATTGGCTTCCAACATGGAAGAGGCACAAAGTAACCTCCCATTTCTCTTCATGACCATGTAGATTTTTAATTGAATGGCTTACTATCCTTTGAATGTTCTTTTTAACAAATGAGCACTGCCTTCTCTTCTGTGGATAAGGGGATCAGGGCCAGCAATCTAACTCTTTCCCTCATCACTGTCCCCCTCAAGGATGAGGAAGACTCCTTTGTGATGAAAGCCATCATCCACGCCATCAATGATGACAATGTCCCAGGCCTGCAGCACCTTCTGGGCTCTTTGTCCAACTATGATGTTAACCAACCTAACAAGGTCAGATGCTGTTCTGCCAGAGTGGGTGGAAGGTGGAGGGTGACTGGATACCTCAAAGTCCAGGGTGGAAAGACTCATCTGCTTCTTCCTTGTTCCTTCCAATTGGAAATCTACACCGTGGGGGGGGGGGGGAAATCACTTCAGTTTAGAGAGAGATTTCGTTAGAAATGAGATCTTTTACGTTCGGGGTCTTGCTTCATACAAGGCCTTTCTATGTGCACATATCATCCTTTGTCTTAGTTACCTAGCGCTGCCATAACAAAAATATACCACAGTGGGTGGCCTTAAAGAACGAGAATTTATTTTCTCACAGTTCAGGAGGCTGGAAGTCCAAATTTAGGGTGTGGTGGGCCTTCCTTGTCTATTTCTACTTCTAGTAGCCAACAGTCCTCGGCACTCCTGCCTTTAGACACACCTGTCCGTGGGTCTGTCTTCAAGTGGTGCCTTTCTCCCGTGTGCATCTATTCTGTTCTTTTTAGAACGCCTGAGTGACTAAGTTAGGACTCACCCTGTTCCGGTATGACCTCATTAATACAATGAAAGAAAACCCCTGTTTACCAACAGGTCAAATTTACAGGTCCAGGAATTAGAATTTTAACATGTATTTGGGGGGACACAATTCAGTCCATAACACACCTCACCCATTAAACTCATGAAACTTGAAATACATTCATCCTACAAATGAAAACATCACCTTTAGTAATGAACCTGAAAGACAAAGAACCATTGTATTCTTCGTACTTTGGGCTTTTCCTTTCCAACCAAAAATGAAATAAATAAATAAATATAAATATAAATATATAAATAAATATATATATATATATATATATATATATATATATATACACACACACACACACACATATGTATATATGTATATATATATATAAAATTTTATTTTTTCCTTCTCACCTGTTTAGCATGGGACACCTCCATTACTTATTGCTGCTGGCTGTGGGAATATTCAAATGCTACAGTTGCTTATTAAAAGAGGCTCAAGGATCAATGTCCAGGATAAGGTCAGAATTCTGTTTTATTACAAATTAATTAAGTTTTTACAAATTTCCAAAGATCTCTTAATCATAGGGGTAAAAGGAAAAGTAACCCCTCCTCAAAAAAAACACATGTATCTACTAATTCATTTCTGTTTCCTACAAAGGAAGATAAAGTGCTTAAATAGTTGGGTACAACCTAACATATCATGTTAGAAAGAAAAAGGCAAACATGTATCTTCCTCTTGGCTCTGTTGCTTAATATCAACATTTCTTTGGACACTATAGCAGATATCACTTCTAAGTGATCTCATCTGCTCAATAGTGTTAGATGTCATATTTGGAAAAGTTTTCATTATCTAATTAATTTCATTAGAAATGTATTTGCCTACATGCTTATTAAGGCAACAGTGAGAAGATGATACATTCTGAAATATAACTTATGTTAGAATGTAGACAGGATTGACTAGCAGCTGATCATCATTACAGTGATGTCATTACATGGGTATGTCATCAACTCCCAAAGATTCTGAACAGAGCTGTACAATGTAAAGAATTCTAACCAGTAGTTGAAATGAGAGTTTTGGTTTATTTTAATTTTTTATTTGGAAATAATTATAGATTTATTTTTAAAAAAAGTTGTAGAGAATTCCCATATATTCACCCAGTTTCCCCTAATGTTAACATGTTATATAAACATGATACATTGATCAAAACTAAAATATGGAAATGAGGATTTATTCCTCCTGAAAGTTGTTCCTTTGGGTTTTGCCAAAGGCAAACAATTGGGAAGGGAAACAGTAATGAGTCTGAGTGATACTTGCAGTCAAGTCCATCAGCCCTCTTGAAATGTGACCCTGTGTTGGTTTTTGTACAGGGAGGATCCAATGCCATCTACTGGGCCTCTCGGCATGGCCACGTAGATACTTTGAAATTTCTCAATGAGAACAAATGCCCATTGGATGTTAAAGACAAGGTAAGGCTACATCTTTTCTTGGGAGAGACAATAGAAGTAATAAAAGGGTGTATTTGAGGGTTAGCATGCCTTATGCATAAGGACCCTCTAAAAGTATTCAGGACCAAAATCTTCTTGCAGAGGATTTAAGTTGGAAATTTCTTTTTGTTGGTGGCCTGAATATTAAAATCTAAGTTTAGACAAAATCTGCCAGCTAATTGCTATAATATGTAAGCAGTAAATTATTGTGTAAATTGGAGAAATTGTGAGGCAGTAAAATTTCCATCTAAGGTAAAAACTCAAAGTTCTAGTAGGAAGACAAACATAACATGACTTGGCTCCTGATTCTCTATTGACTCTCCATGCGCTTTTAAACTAATCTCTTTAGCATTCTTTTTCTCTTTGAAGTTCTTAAGTCTTTGAGGTAGCTAACGATGCCAACCTTACCATTACTGGCATCAGAAGGATTAATATGACAATGCACATTGATGTAATGTAAGGTTTTGGGGCAAAGAATTTAAAAAATTATTGATTTAGCAAGATTCCTTACTTTCATATCATATTTACATATTATTTATTTTTCTGTACCCCTCATCTCTGCTTCCAGTACTTATAGATTAATTAGTCATGTACAATCAGGGCTGCCACATATAGGTGTATGGGTTGTGCACTGCCCCAAAGTGCTATATCTGAGGGATGACATTCACATCAAAGACATACATTTATTACGGTAGCTTTCTAGCAAATGACAATAAAATATCTTGCTTTATTTATTTATTTTTAAAGTATGTAACCTGGCAATTTTGGGGCAGATAAAAGGTTTACCTGTTGCTAATTCATAGCAAGCCATTGTATGGGCTACTGGCAATGTTTTGTTTGTTTGTTTGTTTGTTTGTTTGTTTTTACATTGCTGAGAATGCATAGTCAGACAGTGAAATGAGAAATTGTTAATAAATAAAATTATCCATTTAAAAACCTGCTGAGCAATGACACTAGTATTGAAAAGGGAATTTGGTGTTTTAATAAGATCACATAGCTAGAAACATCAGCATATAAAGAAGTTTTAGACCAACCATCACAGAAGAGGGAAGACATCGTCATGTGGTTGTGCACACATGTGGGCAGGGATGGAGTAGCCAGTAAGCACAAGCTTACCTTGCTTACTAGGTGTTCTGTCCATGTCCAGGATTGTAAATTTGACAAGAGGCTTTGATTCTGTAGGCAGGTGCTGTGGGGGTGGGGGAGAGATGCCAGCAATACCTGAAAGCAGAAACTATGATGTTGTGACAAAAATGTGAAATTATTCACTGCAGATTAGTAAGTAAGCACATGTAAGCCTGTGTTTACCTTATTCATTGGGTAATCTAAGCCTGTTTATGGTGCTTTAACACAAACACAGAACGGTGTGTGGGATTAACACCAGCCCTGTGGTGGGTACCCTACCCTCAGGCCTGTGGCCCAGTCACCAAACCTGGGGCTTCCAGCCTGAGGAGAGCTGGTGTGACCATATGGAAGGATGTGGAGCCAGCCTTGTTCATGAGTGGGCCTCCAGCCCATCACCTCAGCCTGCTTACAGGGAAGGCTCTGAAATGTCAGCTTTGTTTCTTTTGCAGTCTGGAGAGACGGCTCTTCATGTGGCAGCTCGTTACGGCCATGCCGATGTGGTTCAGTTACTGTGCAGTTTTGGCTCCAATCCCAATTTCCAGGACAAGGTGGGTTATGGTAGCTGATGTCCTCACTTCCTTCAGCTTTCTGCATGAATGTAGAGGCAGCCAAATGATGGGCAGTCCACTGATGTTTTATCCAAATTAGATTTTCTGTTTTAGATTACAGAAGGTAGGGACTCAGAGAGAACCACTGTCTAATTTACTTTAAGTGCTAATGCCAGGAATAGTTCTAAGCACTTAATATGTATCATTCATTTCCTCCTCTGGACAACCCTATGAGGTGGGTTGCTATTATTATCTTCCTCATTCTATATGAGGAAAACTGAAGCAGACAAAGGTTAACCAAATTTCCCACACTTGTTTAGCTTCTTAGTGTTGGAGCTTGAATCCACACACTCTCGTTTCACAATCCATGCTTACAACCACTACATTTTAACAGCCTCTCCTTGACCAATACACTTGTCTAATGATGTTGATCATGAAAATATAAGCCTTACATACTTTATAGACCTCACGGCCAGCTCTTCCCTTGATTGGCTCTGTCTTCATTACTTCCTTACTGAACTAAGAATACCTCTATATGACTCATCTTTATCTACATTATTAGAAGAATTCTTATTCAAAGAAGTGCTTTACCCTCCTACTAATAGCTTCAGATAAAGTAAACAAAGGCACTTTTATAAGAAAGATGCTATAAATTTGCCTACATTGTATCTCTGTTGTTCAGAAGAGCTGAGCCACCCAGTGGGCTCCTGAAAGTCATTTGCCAGCTCTGTGCTGAGAAGGCCAAATTCATCAACATGCATCAAGTGTTGACGAAAGGAAACTAATGAAGTCATATCTGCCTCACAACTGTGGTGCCTCATGCCCGTGTTAGTTATTTCAGGTTAATATTTAGCGCCAGTAGCTAATGAGCTCTTTCAGTCCGTAGCCTTGATGTTTGTTTTGCTGTAGATGTTGGCTGCTACTCTCACCATGCCTCGGTTTCACATTAATGTGTTTCTCCATCTCTGTGCTCTTGTCTCCTCTGCCAGGAGGAAGAAACCCCCCTGCACTGTGCTGCCTGGCATGGCTATTACTCTGTGGCCAAAGCCCTCTGTGAAGCAGGCTGTAATGTGAATATTAAGAATCGTGAAGGAGAGACACCCCTCCTCACAGCTTCAGCTCGGGGCTACCACGATATTGTGGAGTGTCTGGCTGAATATGGTGCCGACCTTGATGCCTCTGACAAGGTGCTCTATGGGTGATGTGTCCCACTTACCCAGAAGTGATCTGGGGGGGATGGAGGGACCGCAAGACTCCTCAATTAGTTTACCTAAAATAGCACACTTGAATGCAGCAATTTGTAGTTCTCTTCTCTTCTTTGTTCTAAAGAGTCTCTCTGTGAGCTTTCCGAGATTCTGTTTAATAATCAGTGTTCATTTGTGGCATGTGAAAAAATTTATGAATTAGTCCAGTGATTTGGGGCTCTATTTTATTTTTTGCTTTTTTCGCTGTGAAAAAGGTACTGTGATAATCACTAAACCCAAAGGAATCCTCATTTAGGACTAAAAGTGGCAACACTCTATTAATTTTTAGATAAGCAAAGAAATAGGTGGTTAATTTACTGCCATCACCTGCTATTTTGTAGAAAGATAATGAACTACTGTTATTTGCCTAACAATCTCAATTCTAGACCATGTGTTCCTTTTTCAATTAAGCAAATTCAGCATAATCTGTTTTTATTGCAAACTTATACTTAAAATGAAGCTGTGATATTGTGCTGTATAGGGAGATTTGGATATTGTAGTTAATTTAGTAATTATCATCTGTGTAACATTTTCTTAGTAAAGGTAACGATTCTCAACTGGGGGTGATTTTGCCTCCAGGGGACAAGTGACAATGTCTGCAGGCATTTTTGGTTGTCACAACTGGGAATGGGGGTTGCAGCTGGCATCTAGTGGGCAGAGGCCAGGGATGCTGTGAAATATCCTACAATGCACAACAAAGAATTCTATGTCCCCAATTGTCAATATTACTGAGGTTGACAAGTCTGATACAGAATAATAGAAATGTTTAAAAATTCTCTCCTAAAAGTCAACATTCTGTTCACCAGGGACTCTAAAATAAGTGGAATAAATTTCTAGGCTGAGCTGTTGTGGGATACAAAGGTTAAGCTTGTTGTATTTATTTCTCTTATTTATGGTAACCCTTGAGCAAATTATTTCACACTTGCCTTCTCAGTTTCTGCTGGTGCAAAATAAAATAATTGTTGTTATTGTTGTTGTTATGTGCCATCGAGTCAGCCCCAACTCATAGAGACCCTTCTTTGGAAGGGTCCCACTATAGGAGTTGATTGCCCAACCTTCCTTCTGAGGAGTGGCTGGTGGATTTAAACTGCCAGCCTTCTGGTTAGCAGTCAAGTGCCTTAGGCACTATGCTACCAGAGCTCCTAAATAAAATAATAGTCTTTTTTATTAGGGAGTTAGCAAATATTGCTGAGCAAATGATTTTAAAAGTGTTTTTCAAAGTCAGTAAAACTAGGGCATTAGAGTACCAAAAAGTGACCTTAGCCATATACATTCAGAGACAGAAAGAAGTATAGGTTCTTTCTAGCCACTTGTGCTGCCCAAATCTAAAAATAATATGCTTGTTGGTCGTCTTCTTCTTGTTGGTGGCTGCTGTCAAGTCAGTTCCTGACTCATGATGGTACTATGCACAATGGGACGAAACACTGCCCAGTCCTGCACCTAGGACCATTGTGATCCATTGGGTTGTCACTGACTGATTTTTGAAGGTAGACCTCCAGGCCTTTCTTCCTAGGCCATCTTGGTCTAGAAGCTCCACTGAAACCTGTTCAGCATCACAGCTTCATGCAAACCGCCACTGACAGATGGGTGATACATGAGATGGATTGACCAGGAGTCAAACTCAGGTCTACACATGAGAGGCGAGAATCCTACCATTGAACCACCACTGACCTCTACAGTCAGCTCAGTCTGTGATTATTCAGAGTGGAATGTGATTTTAATCCTCCTTTAGGAGCTCTGGTGGTGCAGTGCCTAAGGCAATTGACTGATAACCAGAAGGCTGGTGGTTCAGACCAACCACCCACTCCTCGAAAGGAAAATTGGGCAATCTGCTTCCTCAGTGATGCTGCCTCAGAAACCCAAGGTGGGGTCTCTATGGGTCACATCCAACTCTATGACAGGGAGTTTGGTTTCAGTTTTTTAGACTTTGCAGTACTCATGCCATTGCCAACTAGTCCCAGTCCAATGAAGGCAAGAATGGAGGCAAGACCCCAAGTGTTTGAGAGTAGACCTAGGCTCCACAGGGTTTTCAGTGACTGATTCCTCAGCAGGAGATAGCCAGGCCTTTCTTCCAAGATGCCTCTAGGTTTGCTCAAACCTTTAACCCTTCGGCAAACACATTAATACACTATCTAGGTCTCTGTGACTAATGGAAAAGCAGTCATGGTCCCTGGTGTTTGTTTCAGGATGGGCATATTGCTCTTCATCTTGCTGTACGAAGGTGTCAGATGGAGGTTATCAAGACTCTGCTTGGCCAAGGATGTTTTGTGGATTTCCAAGATAGACATGGCAACACCCCCCTCCATGTGGCCTGCAAAGATGGCAACCTACCCATTGTGGTGGCTCTCTGTGAAGCAAGTTGCAATTTGGACATCTCAAATAAGGTAACCACGGAGAAGATCCCTGCAGGTCCTATCAGTGTTTGTCTGCCTATCTGCTTCTAAGTTTAGGGCCAAGTTTCTGTTTGAATCTCTTCATTGTGTAAAGTATCACTCACATGCACACGTGATTTTATAGGTTCTGCCATTTTAAGGAACTCTAGGAGCTCTGGTGGTCTAGTGGTTAAAGCATTTAGCTGGTAGCCAAAAGGTCAGCAGTTCAAACTCACCAACTGCTCTGTGCAAGAAAGATGAGACAGTCTGCTTCCTTCTATAAAGATTTACAGCCTTGGAAACCCTATGGGCAGTTCTACTCTGTCCTATAAGGTCACTAAAAGTTGGAATCAACTCTATGGTGGTGGGTTTTATTTTTTTTAATTTGGCCATTCTAAATCATATTGCACATAAGACTTTTAAATCATTTCCTAGAGAAACAGAAAATTATTACATTAGCCAGCATTTCCTGCTTGGCCTGGTGGTAAAATTAATCAATTTACCACTATGGACACTTAATATGTGTATGTGTCTTTGTGCATATGTTTGTGTGTATATTCCTATAGAGTAATCGGGGAACTTGTACAAGTTGAATGTTTTATCTTTCTGGAACACTAAGTCTTCAGGAAAATACATAATGATATTATGATTTGATTGTGATTCCTAAGGCCAGATTTCTTTTTTTACGTTTTCGCACTGAAAGTTTTTTGGTTATAAAATCATGACATCCTTTTTGTGCTAAGTATATTTGATAAGATTAAGGGTATACTATCATTTAGTGAATGGTGAGCCAAACCAGTTGCCGTTGAGTTGACTGACTCGTGGTGACTACAAAGCAGTGAGTTTCTCTTAGATATGGTCTTTATATCCCTAGGTTTATAATTCTTCTAACCCTGGGTTATAATTCTGCGAAAAATAATTTGTTAGGCTGCAGCCTGCCCTATGATTAGTCTATTTTACACAACTTGGAGAAATTGGTCAGTCTGATATGCAAATAGGGTATGTAAAACTACCCAGTAGGTTTAAGTAACCTTGTGGGAATTGATGGATTACCATGGCTACCAAGTGACTCTGGCCTAAGATGGGCTTGGTCAATCTGTGTTCTGGTGAGAGGACCATGATTTGAAATTGACAGGAAGTAGGGTTACATAAAGGCCAATTGCACAGAGGTTGAGGGGAACCTCACTACCAAAAAGAAGAGCCTAGAGTAGAGTGTATCTTTTGGACTTGGGATCTCTGCACTGAGAACCTCCTTGACCCAGGAGACAAGAAAGAGAGAGCTGTAAAAATGAAGATAGCACAAGACAGTGTGGCAGTATGAGCAGCAGCAGAATTAGTGGCAGAGAAATGGTGGCACAGTGTGAGAGATGGGAACCAGTAGACTGGTGTAAGGTGGCTGCAGTAAGCTTGCTGACACACAGTGTCAGAGAGAGCTGAGAGCCCTTGGGCAGGAGGCATTTTGGTAGAGTGGGATGCCTCTTGGTACTTGTCAGTGGAACTCGAGCTGTAACACTTGCCTGAGGCTTAAAGAAGACCTGGCAGTGGGCATGGCCAAGAAAAGGCTTGTGGCAGTCAGCCAAGAGAAGCCAAGAGAAGGGCCACTTGCCTTGGGCACAGCTGGGAAGAAGCTGAGAGCTGTCTTGGTCAAAAGCTGTCCTGAGTGAAGAGCTGTATCTTGTCTCCTGAGTTGCATCCTGCCGCTTACAAGTTGATCCTGATCTTGAGTTGTAACCTGTTACTTCCCTGTAAACCACACAATCCGGAGTATGGTGAGTTCTGTGTGGCACTTGCAATGATTATCAAATCCAGCAGAGAAGTAGAAAGTGTCACTGGGAGGATGGCTGATGTCAGAAATGGTGAAAAAGTTGGAGAATGGAAGTATGTCGGAATCAGTTTGGGGGCTGATCCTGCTTCTCATCCTCCTTGTGAATACAGACAAAGTCTAACAATACTAGGAGACAGTGACCCCAAGTGTTTCCAAGTAGACCTGGCCTCCACAGCATTTCCAGGAACTGATTCCTCAGCAGTAAATATCCAGGCCTTTCTTCCAAGATACCTCTAGTTTTACTCGAACCTCTAACCCTTTGGCAAGCACATTAATACTGTCTACACTATCCAGGACTCCTAGTGAATAATAAAGGAATGAAAATAAAGAATTACATACTTCCAAGTTCATAAAAATTCCCATATGCTGACTTCTAGAAGCTGACTAACTCCTTTCCTTTTCTCTCAATACCATTTAGATATGCATTAACAAATAAAATTGAACAGTTGGATATTCATGTGGTTTTAGCCCTGTAACTCTGAACAGCAAAGACCACTCTGTTAGGATTCTGTTGAAAACAAAGTTCAAGTAGTTTTTTTTTCTGAATTGTGGGTAGTCTTTATTTATAAATAGCACACTTGCTGCCAGCATAATTTTATTGTGATTTCTTTGATGTAAAAGAATTAATATCTGAAGCAGTTGGTAAATTATACTTTTACAGAAAAAATTACTCCTCTTGCACATTATGAGATTAATTCTAATGAAAATTGAAATTGGTAAGCTTTGTGTTCTAGAATTGTGAAAAGGCACTATCCAAAGCCTTGGCTATTAGATGCTGGGTGCGTTCTTAGCTTATCCCATTCTAATCTTGCCAAAGCAGTTATGTAAATGGCTTTAGGGAAAGGCAAATGTAATATTAAACAGCATCAAAGTCTTGCCTTTCCTTCTAGGATTCTATAAATGAATAAAAATCAGCTTCCAGGACCATCCTGGAGCTCATTTGAATGTCTTAGAGCTGGCCATTGTATGGACAGCTGGCCTACTGTGTGCTCAGCTTCTGGAATTAACTCTCAGCTCTAATATGTTCCTGATACTTTGCAGTAATGTTAACAAGGGAATGGATGTTCTCCCTGGCTTCACCCCATGCCTAAAAGCATAAGGTGTACTTGCTAAATATGCTGTTTTAAAAACCCAGCAGGATATTCCCAGACTTCCATACTTTAACACAGCTGATTTAGTTAGTGGAAAATCTCTATACACTTTGATACCGCACATGGTCACAGTAGTTCATAAATGCTGACATAAAGCCACCCTGGCAAAGCTTGTATTTTTCTCATAGGCAATACAATAGCAGGGCATAAAGAGCCTTGAATAGATGCTTTTTTCATTGGCTTGAGCTCAGCTGAATTGAATTCTATTAGTTCCACAGTTTCAAAATCTTGGAGTCTTCAACAAAATTCAGATCCATTATCCAGAACCCATTTATTATAAGCAAAAAACCAGTTGCCATTCAGATAATGCCAACCCATGGTGACCTCAGGTGTGTCAGAGTGCAACTGTGCTCTGACTTTTCAGAACTAGATCTCTAGGCCTTTCTTCTGAGAAGCTCTGGGTGGTCTTGAAGCTGCAGCCTTTCCATTAGCAGCTGACCATGTTACCATTTGCACCACCAGGATCTCCAAATGAGGAAGGCAGGAAAGAATATTCCATTTGAGGGAAATGTATATGTTTGGGAACTGTGTAGATACTCCATGTGCCTGACGCATAGGGGCTGTGTTACAGGTATTTGAGGAGGACTTGAATGAGGAGAAAATGAATCTGGAAGGAAACTTTGGGTCTGGGTGTTGAAAGTCCCTGAATATAATGCTAAGGAGTTTGAGGTTTTTTTTCTTGCAAAAATTGGGAGACTTTAAAAATGTAAATTAAGAAATCTTGTGTTCTTTTAAAGGTTCCCTGGTGGTGCAGTGGGTTAAGCACTTGGCTGCTAATCAAAAGGTCAGAGATTCAAATCCTCCAGCTGTTCCAGTGGAGTCTGCTTCTGTAAAGACTTACAGTCTTGGAAACCCTATGGGGCAGTTCCACTCGGTCCTATAGAGTCACTATAAGTTGGAATCGACTCAACGGTAGTGGGTTTTGGATTTTCCATCCTTTAATTTCTCTAAATAAAATATAATTTCTGAAAAAACAAAAAGGCAAACAACCCAATTTAAAAAATGAGCATAAGACTTTCCAGACATGTAGACCCCTCAAACTCTGACTCACATCTCCCTTCTGCCAGCACAGTAGGAAACTTAATTTAGTTACCTTATGAGAAACCTTATGAAAGTTCACCAAAGAGGATATTCAAATGGCCAATAAACACACAAAAAGATAGTCAACATCATTAGGCATTGTTGTTGTGGTGTACCATCCAGTCAACACTGACTCATAGTGACCCTATAGGGTAGAATAGAACTGCCCAGTAGGGTTTTCTTGTCTGTAATCTTTATGGGAGCAGATTGCAAGGTCTTTTCTCCCATGGAGTGGCAGGTGGATTTGAACTACTGACCATTCAATTAAAAGCTGAGCACTTAACTATTGTGCCACCAAGATTCTTTCACCAACCATTAGGAGATGCAAATCAAAGCCACAACGAGATAACCGTCTCACCATCACTAGACTGGCAGTGATCAAAAAAATTATAAAAAGTAACACGTGTTGTAAAAGGTTGTTGAGAAACTGAAACCTTCATCCAGTGCTGATTGGAATGTAAAATGGTGCAGCCATTGTGGAAAACAGATTGGTAGTCCCTCAAAAAGTTGAACACAGGACTATGATATGACCAAGCATCCCCATTCCTAGGTATATAGCAGAGGAAGCGACGGCAGAAACTCAAACAGAAACCACTGTTTGTCGCAGCACTTTTCACAGTAGCCAAAAGGTGGAAACAACTGAAATGTCCATCAACAGATGCATGGCTAAACAAAATATGGTATACAGTGTACCTGCAGTGGAATATTATGTAGCCATAAAGAAAAATGAAGTTTTGATGTAGATCACAGCATGGACTAACCTTGAAAATATTATGCTAATCAAAATAAATCAGAAGCAAAAAGACAAATGCTGTAGACTTCACTTACATGAAATAAGCAAACATATAGAAACCAAATATTATCAATGGTTAGCAACGGTGAGAGAGAGGGGAAAAGGGAGAATTTTTGTTTGGGTGACTGGATGGTGGGGAATGTTTTGGTTGAAGACAGTGATAATGCTGGTACAACCTGAAAAATGTTATCAATGTTACTGAGTTATAAATGTGGAAGAAGTTGTGCTGGCAGATGTTTTGTAGTGTAAGTTTCCATTATAGTTCAAAAGGGGGGGGTCCCTTTTCTTCATCACACTTTATTGTCCTTCTTCCCTTTTATAAAACTATAGTATGTTGTTGTTGTTAAGTGGTGTCAAGTCGATTTCAACTCATGACCCATGTGACAGTGGAACTGCTCATAGGGTTTTCTAGACTGTAGTCTTTATAAAAGCAAATTGCTGGGTCTTTCTCCCAAGGAGCTGCTGGGTGGGTTCAATTCATCAACCTTATTTGTACATCTTCATCTTATAGTCACAAATCCAGACATCTACAAGTCTCATGCACATAATATAAATGAAGACAACAGGCTGTGTGGGAATTGTGGTGAATTGGGGAACACACATCCACCTGCCCAAACAAGAGACTCCTGACTAAGCATGGCTCAAGGGAAGTAAGTCTGGATTTGTGCATGTGAAATCTCTAGACATGTAAAATTTTCAGGACATATTAAAAAAAAAATTTAAGGAAATAGACCTGAGGGCCGTATGCAGCCTGTAAACCACAAGTTTAAACTATGTAAACCACACAGATACTTTGGGCTGGAATTCACTCTGAAATTTCAAGCTATGGAGCACAATTTCTGATGGATGAAGACATATCTTTCTGTGTCAATGGCATGATCTAATACGGCTTTGCCCAGGAATAGGGGCATGGCTTTGAAATTTTTCCTCATTCAAGGGTCTTCAGAGTCCTTGGGCAATAAGAATAATCAGTGTAGTCAACTTTTAACTGAAAGGCCGGTGGTTCAAGTCCACCCAGAGGTGCCTTGGAAGAAAGGCCTGGAGATCAGTTCTGAAAAATGAGCCAGTGAAAACCCTGTAGAGTGCCGATCTACTCTAAGACACACAGGGTCACCATGTTGAAGTCTACAGCAACTGGTTACTGCACAGAGTATCTTCAGTAGCTGTGCTTGCATTCCTTCTTCCCTTGCTATGTCTAAATCTGACCCACAGTGTAGATTTTATCAGACATGTGGGACCCTCAAGCCCTGACCCCCACCTCCTTTCTGCCAGCAAAGCAGAAAATTTAATTTATTACCTTGTGATAAACCTCCCACTCTTCTATCCTTTGAAGTTTGCTTTGAAAGGTGGTACCCTTTTAGCTATGAAAAATACTTGAAAACATTCTGTTTGGCTTGTCTCCTTCAGTGGATGGCAAGTTTCTGGAGAAGGGAGACCACGTTTCTTTTTTTTTTTTTTTTTTCTGGTGAATCCCAGGCACCTTACATAATCCTCCGTCAGTGAGATCTACTCCATAAATGATCAGGAAAAAGCATGAAAACAACTCTCTTTTGTATTTCTTTTCTCTCCCTAGTATGGGCGAACCCCTCTACATCTTGCAGCCAACAATGGGATTCTGGATGTGGTCCGGTACCTCTGTCTGACTGGTGCCAACGTTGAAGCCCTCACCTCCGTGAGTATGGTCTGAGTACTTTCATCACGAGAAAGCTCTCCAAAATTTCTCATTCCTCAAGGGCAAGAGGGGAAAGGTATTGCTTGGCAACTGCATTCTAAAACAGACAGGCTGCTATTAAGCTTTAACTCCCCCACTGCAGTTACATAAACATTTGCCCACACAATCCTAGTTTAATATCTAGTTAATGTTTCATCCTCTTCTCAGTTCTTCAGGCCCCACTCTATCAGGAAACCCTGCAGTTTCCCAATGACCTGTTAGTTTTCCATGTTACACAACAGTGCCTTTGCATTTTTTATTAAATGTGTATGTTTTCTTTTCCTAAACGCTCCCATTTGACTCCAGGGCACTGGGAGCTCCTGTATGCTTTAGTGACTCCCACCCACTGCCATGGAGTCAATTCCAACTGCTGGCAATGCTTTAGGACAGAGTAGAACTACCCCCTAGGGTTTCCAAAGCTGTAAGTATATACTGAAGCAGACTGCCTCATCTTTCTCCCATGAAGTGGCTGGTGGGTTTGAACCACCGATCTTTTGGTTAGCAGCTGAATGCTTTAACCACTGCACCACCAGAGCTCCTTGTGTTGGGGCACAGTGTCCATATTTACCTGCAAAGCCAGGGGCCCTGCCGCTATTTGGAACAAGAGCTGTTCTCTCATGATTGACATGTCCAGCTTTGCTACTGAGCCTGTAAAATACTTTTAAATGCAATTTTCTTCAGTTCCCCTTATCTCCTGCCCCCTACTCCCCATTCTACACCTCCCTGCAGAAGAAACTCTTTGATTCACATTCCATGAAATACCAAAGAAGGAAAAAATTCCGACTAATAAGATATGGTTACAGTTTTATTGCTGCAGTTAATAATATAATTTGAGTTGTTTCTGGCTCAACCGTGGGCAGACTCTTCATTCTCCAGACGCCCATGTAGGAGAACAAGAAGTTCCTGAAACTCAAAGATTAGAGCTTTGCTGACGTGAAGTGTTTTTCTAAGGAGATAGATCACTTGGTGTTTTAAAAGATGGTGGCCAACCTTAGGAAAATCAAGGCCCTGTGGCTGGAGGTACATCCTCATTTCTTAGAGATTGATATAGGGATTGGCAAACTATACCCTAGAGGCCAAATCTAGCCTGCTTCATGTTTTTGTAAATAAAGTTTTATTGGAACACAGCCACACCCATTCGTTTACATATTGTCTATGGATACTTTCTTGAGTTGTTGTGACAGAGACCATGTAACCCACAGAACCTAAAATACTTGGTATCTGTTGTTTTACAGAAAATATTTACTAGTCCCTGATCTAGGAAGTGCCTTGCTGGAAAGTGCCTTGCTGGCCGCACTAATGTTTTTTTGATATCATTCCCTCCAAAGTAACAAGTTTGCTCTCTGCAGTGTAGATACAGAGCTGTGCTTTCCCTGTAGGCCTACTTACTATCAAAATTCTACATGGTATTGCTCCCCTTTTTAGGGCACCTCCTCACCCATCACAAACTGCACATACAATACCATTCAAAGACCTGATAGGCCAGATGTTTTATTATTAAATCTTGCCCAGAGTCCTTGGCACAGGATGCAGTTACTTCATCATGGAGAATTTATATTCATTTTTATGAGAAAATTTTGTGGGTTTTTTTGGTCATGGATCTTACCTCATAAAAAGTAAACTAGAAAAGGCAAAATTATGGAGATTGTGAAAAGATCAGTGGTTGCCAGGGAAGAGGGGAAGGGGGAGGGAGACGAAGTGGAGCACAGGGCATTTTTTGGGCAGTGAGACTCTTCTGTATAATACTGTAATGGTGGATACACGACATTATGCATTTGTCAAAACTCATAGGATCACATAGCACAAAAGCGTAAATTCTGATGTCAACTCTGGACTTTAGTTATTAGTAATGCATCAGTATTGATTCATCAGTTGTAACAAGTGTACCACAGGAATGTAAGCTGTTAATTATAAGAGAAAGAGTGTGCATGGGGGAAGAGATATATGAGAACTGCTTACTTTATGCACAGTTTTTCTATAAACCTGAAACTTCTCTAAAAAAAAAGTCTATTAAAAAACAAAAATAAACAAGCTAATGAGGATAACCTTGACAACACCAGCTGGCTCCTGCCAAACAAAGCAGTACGGGTTGGGGCCACTAAATTGTGTGATTCCCCAGGCTCCATGGGTCCCCAAAGCTACCCAGTGACCTTCTGTGAATCCATGGACATCTCCCTCTACCAGCTCTTGTTGACATTCATGGTTGTTTGCAACCACCTATCCCTCATTCTCAAGAAATCCCTTAAGTATATAATTTTGCTCCCTCATTCTTATCTCATGTCTTGCACTTCCCAACTCAGTGTAAGTACTTTTCCTGTTTAAGATGGATGTTCCCACAAGCACTGGGCAGTCTGCCTCATGAACCCTCACTCCCATAATCATGCATTTGTTCATCATGCATTTATTCTTTCTACATATAGGGTACCAGGCACTGGGCTAAGTGCAGGGAATACAGTGGGGAACAAGACAGGCATGGGCATTTAGAATCTTAATGGGAGAGGGACATTGACCAAAGAGCCATAACAGTAACTACATTATTACTAAATGGGATGCATGTGGTAAAGGGAAAGGACCAGGTACTGAGGGGGCTTACGAGGGAATCAGGGAGCAGTCCCCACAGTAGTACTGTTTAACCTGAAGTTTGAAGGTTGAGGAGTCATTAGGTGGGCAAAGAGAGTGTGAAGAACACACAGTGGCCAGGCCTCAGAGGAAGCAAGCACGTTCCAGGAATTGGAATTGAAATTTGTTGGAGCACAGCATGGAAAGTCTCACAAGATGAGATTGGAGGAGTAAGTGGGGCAGGGCTTTCATGGCTAAGGTGAAGATTTGGGTCTCTGTGTTACAAGCAATGGGAAGCCACTGAAGGTTTTAAGTAGGGCAGTGAAATGATCATTCACACACTGAGGATATCGACCTAGTGCTATCCAATAGAAATACATGCCACATATATAATTTTAAATTTCTTGATAGCCTCATTAGGAACAAGAAACAGATGGAATTAATTTCAATAATATACTTGATTTAGCACAATATATCCAAAATATCATTCCAACTGATTATAAAAAGCAAACACACTGCTGTTGAGTCGGATCTGACTCATAGCGACACCTCCTTGGGTTTCTGAGGTAGTATCACTAGGGAAGTAGATTGTCCAACCTTTCTTCCGAGAAGTGGCTGGTGGGTTTGAACCACCAGCCTTCTGCTTAGCAGTCAGATGCCTTAGGCACTATGCCACCAGAGCTCCTTCCAACTGGTAGTCAGTATTGTAAAATCATTAATGGGATATTTTACATTCTTTGTTTTGTACTGTTGTTATTAGTTGCCATTGAGTCGATTCTGCCTCATGGAGACACCATGTGTTAGCGTAGGGTTTTCTTAGCTGTAATCTTTACAGAAACATTGCCAGCAGGCTTTTTATTTATTTTTATGTGAATCCATGGACAGCTCCCTCTACCAGCTATTGCTGACTTTCAGGGTTATTTGCAAGTGAATTTGAATTACCAACCTTAGGTTAGCAGTCACATGCAAACTGATAGTGCCACCTAGGGACCTTTTGTTTTGTACTTATTTTCAAAATCTGATGTGCCTTTTATACTTACAGCTTGTCTTAACCTGACCAGCCACATCTCAAGTGCTAAGTAGCCTAGTGCGGTGAGTGGCAGCTACCTTATCAGACAGCACAGAGTCTCTGAATATTTTATCTCATCATCATCTGAGCAAGGGCTATGTTTCCTGATCCGTAAAATAACCCTTGACCCTGCAGTGCCCTCTAGTGTTCACCTTCTCTCTCCCCTTCTGTTCTCAACCATTTGATTCTAAATTAAAAAAAAAAGAAAAATTCTGAAGGTAAGGTACTGTCTTCTCAATTTTCCTTTCTCCCATACCCGCCTGCACCCTGCTGTCTTCTACTCCACCTGACTCTTAGTCACCTCCTGTTGCTCTTTCCTTCTAGACCTTTTAAATAGAAAATACAGATTTTTAAAACCCCATACAAGGTGGTTGCACAACATGGTAAATGTAATTTAATGCCACTGTGAAAATGATTAAAATGAAAATAATTTTAAATATATTTTACCACAATAAAATTAAAAAGTCAAGGGTAGTTTTATATATGGAAGGAAATTTTTTGTGTTGGCTACCAGGGGTGGGAGGGGAGAGGAGGGAACACTGCTAGAAGTTAGAGACAAGTATTGATTTGGGTGAAAGGAAGGGCAATGTACCAAATGTGAGTGATCAACACGGTGGCATTGAGAAAGAGGAAGACATAGAGAGGTGCATGGGAGGTACAGACAACAAAGATAAACCCTTTTGCACATACAGTACCACATTGCCAGTGAAGGCAAACATTGATATACGGGTGGATAGATGGGTGGACAGACTGAACTATTAGGTATGTCTGTGCAGGAGGGAGTGTGCCCATGACCATGTATAGGGTTGGCAGACAATGTTTCTACAAGTGTATTAGTATGTTCTGTAAGAATTTCCAGGTAAATAGTGGAACTGCCAAGGGGCAAGGTTGCAGTCACCTCTTGGCCATAGCCAACTACCCAGAGCGAGCGAGTAATTAGACCTGTAGGCTCGGGACCATAGTCACAGGGGACATCAAGCTCAATTGGCATAAAGTACTACACAAAAACATTGTTCCACTTCCTACTTTAGCAAGTAGCAACTAGGATGTTAAAAGTTTGCAAGCGGCCATCTAGATGCAACAATCCAGAGCAAAGAAGAATGAAGAAAACCAAAGACCCATGGAAACAATTAGTCCAAGCAACTAGTACACCGTGCAATCTTAAGCCTATACAACTATGAGACCAAAAGAACTAGATGGTTTCTGGATACCACTGTCAACTACTCGGAGGGGATCTTTGTAGGAGATCTTTGATAGAGTGGGAAAACAATGTGGAACAAAACTCAAAATCATTAAAAAAAAAAAAAAAAAAGGACCAGGTTTGCTGGTCTGA